TCCGACTTGAAGCTCCAAACTCTCTTGGCTAGACTCCGTAAAGCTTAGGTAATCAAAGCGCCAACATGCGAACGAATAGCTCTCAGGAGCCAAATTGAATGATGATTTACTGAATAAAAGTCAGCAAATCCCGATGACTGGTCTACAAAAGTCAAAAAGTAAACCTCGGTGGCGGGTCGAAAAACCTGCGATTGTGCTCAGCGAAGCTCCATTCTCTCCATCTACCGTGATCGATGTGATTAACGGAAAGATGAGCATTGAATACTGTTTTCACAAATTCTTAGCTGTTTCTTTTTGTTGCTAATTGTTTTTTTATGGAACGATCTTCAATTCACCAACCCAATAGTTTAGAGTGTTAGTGGAGTCTAGGAGGGCCTAGTGTATACTCGTCAATAAGTACCTTGAGTCTTAATTTCGCACCCGAGGGTTTCTCTGTTATGTAGAATCAAAATTCAACGTTATTTAAACCTTTCAAATGACTACTTTCTCACAAATTAAATTAATCAAATGCTTTATTTGTTGTAGTGATCTCAAGTTAATCAAAAAAAAGTCCTGGAAATCGAGTAGTCAATAGTCCTACTTTGTGGCTATGGAGTCAGGGGTTGTAGTTCCCATCGGGTTTCTGCTTTTTCAAACTGACATTTCATTGTCAGTGCATTGGCCGTCAGGGTTGAGAAAGGTTTAAACAAAGGAGTTAAATGATAACCTGTCTCCGGTCGGGCCACTCATTCCCAATCAGGGATTTCAGTCTCATATTAACCCCATTGGTGACAGTGCGCTATGATTGGAAGCGATTGAGTGAAAAGGGCTCTTTGATTGATTGCGTATCTCGGTGAATCACCTTTTGATCTTTGTAGCATTCAGTAAACTGCATTAGACAGCGACACAACAACTACAGATAACACTTAACAAGTGCTTCACGATCTCATTTTTAGAGTTCAATGAGTTTCAAAGAGTCAGAAATAGATATGTCAAAATACAAATCAAAGATAATTTCAAAACATCAAAGACAAAAGTCCGCCCGTCCTTTGATCACTAGAGCACATCTATTTTCTTCTATTTTACAACGATTGAACTAAAGACAATATGAAAAATGGATGTTGAGCACTTCTTTGCTTGAAGAGCTTTTGCAATAACGATCAGTCAATGTGTTCAATCAGCTTTAACTTTTAAATGTCAGTTTCATAAAATTAGATATAAAACATGACACTTTGGACTTGACTCAACTCGAGTCTAATCCAGGGAAAGGGATCAAATCGGTGGGCGGTTGGTGAAGCGATTGATCGTTATTGCAAAAGCTCTTCAACAAAGAAGTTCATCATCCATTTTTCCATATTAACTTTAGTTGAATCGATGTAAAATGAAAGAAAATAGATGTGCTCTAGTGATCAAAGGACAGGCGGACTTTTGCAAGTCATTGTTCATTTTTGAATAAAATTAGAAAAAGTTTCTTTTGTGTGTGGGCGATCCGAGTGTTCTCCAGTGACATTATGGGGTATAAAATGGGCGATGAACGGATAGGAAAGCACTCATTTCTGGGCTCATCCACATCATTCATCAATTCTCACGATGAAAATCCTTCTCACGTTGGCACTCTTCGTTTCCAAGTTAGTCTTTTTAAGGTTTGAGTAACTCTAATGTCAGCCACTTTGCATAACAAATGCAAATTCAAATATGAAACAGAAAAGTCACAAGTAGACCATGGGTACAAAAAATTTAGTTCTTTTAAGAGATAGAATTCCTAAGAGCTTGAAACTGTTATCAATTAGAATGAAATATATAATCAAATGAATCAAATAGAATCAATTAAGAATATCTAAAGAATCAATTAGAAAAATAGAATGAAATATAATCAAATCAAATAGAATCAATTAAAATAAAATATAACCAAAAAAATGAATTAGAATCAATTAGAATCAAATAGAATATTGCAAACTTGGGCATAGTACTGTTAACAAAGGTTGTAAAATGATAGTAGAATATGAAGAAGTAAATTTAGTAAATGATAGTAGCAAATCTTTAGCCATCGCAGGGGCAGCTGTCGTCTACACAGTTGCGGATCAATCCCATCTTCTCAGTGTGAGTTTTTAGAAAAAAGTTACTGAAATGATTTTACATTCTTTACACTTACATTGTTCAGACATTCAATGCACTTCGCTCAAAATGTGCCAAGGGAACACAAAGATGGCACAATTACACATGGGAGTATGATGCTCAATATGATGATGTCAGTTGTTTCAATATCATAATCAATTATTGGTTGTTGTCCATTATCAGATAGATTGTGTGTGAGTGCTGATAGGATACTAAAATATCAATGTACATCAATGTGTATAGTGTCTTTTTAAATCATTAACAAGCAACCGTTTTAGACTGTTCCAGACCCACCAGTCAGATACTATCCAAAGGCCACTCGAATGTATCAATTGGTTTGTTATCAACATTTCAAAAAATAATCTTTCTTTTGCTCAGAAATGGAATGCAACGTTGGCAGCAGCAACTGCTCGTCCGTTTGAATACACCGTCAAACAAACAAATGACAGGGACAGTGCCGGCAAATGTTGGAGAGATCACATATGGAGTCGAGTATGGAGTGGCACCCAATACAATCACTGCTGTCAAGATTTGTATGTTATCGTTGTAAAAGGATAAAAGATCTCAACTTATTTGACTTCTTTATCGAATAATTTCAGTCGACAATGCCTGGGGTCAATGGGGAGCACTTTTCAATTGGCAAGGACTTGACAAATTTGCCTATTCAGCATCCACCGATCAATATGAAATGTATCAGGTAAATTCGCTAAATCTGACTTCTTTTTGCATTCAATTCATTGCTTAAATTCGAAATTGAAATCTTCGAAATCTTCAGTTGATCGCTGATCTAACGACTCAGTTGGTGTGCCTACGTGAACATTACCTCCTCTGGACAATATGCCACCGTTTGTCAATTCTATCCAAAGTAATTCTATTCTCTTTCATCCTCTTTTAAAAAATCGTATCCTTTATATCCATTTACATACATTGTAAGTGTTGTTGACTAAACTTTAAGTGAAGATATTCAATTTAAATCAGTCTCTATTTTATTTTCTAGGAGCCTCGTCGCTGCCAAAGCAGTCTACACAAATGGAGTTACCAGTTGCTCAGCTTGCCCAAAAACCACAGCCCCATGTGTGCCCACTACTGGATTGTGTGCGATCAAGGCTATTGGATAAATGATGATTTTATGAAAATGTTGATTCAAATAAATATCTGCATCGAATCCAAGAGTGATCTTATGTATGCCAGAAGGTTTATGTTTGTGTCGCAAAATTAACCGCTGTTCTCGTTGATGAGTGCACTCGAATCTCAACGTTTCGCAAAACAAAGTTACTCTTGCAGTTTCTGGGTTGTACAATTTATTAATTGCATATTGTGGCTTTCCATATTATCAGCATTATTCCTATTATTCTTGATCATTAAATTGAAATGTTTGTTTATGTTTATGTTCATGTTCAAAAGGCATCAACTTTTCACAGATTCATCCAATTGATCTTTTTTTGGTTTCAAAATGTGCACAAGAGCCTTGAGCATAAAATTTGGTATAGGATGCTCACCAGAATTTCTTTCAGAATTTCAGAATTTCAGAAAAGAATCAGCCTGTAAAAGGGAGTCAATTTTGGCGTTTATCTTTAAAAAAATAGCGATTTTTTCGATTTTTTATGTCAGAAATCTGTCAAAAGGATTCTAAAAGTTCTTTCAGATTCGAATTCAGAGCATTTTTCACATCGAATACCACTTACACAATTTAACGGCGATTGCATTTTCGCGCGGATGTGCGGCGTTTTCAATTAGACTTAAGGATTGACTTACGGTTGGTTTTAAAAGAATTCTCATCAAATTTGGCTAAAGAAAAGTGCAGTTTATTTTGTATACTCACCTGTAAGAAAATAGGGAAAAACGGCATCAAAGTTGACCGACTTACCTGCAGAACTTACCTGCCGGTCAACGGTTCAAGCAATCAACTTTAATGGTCTTAAAATTTATGATTCTTTCCTATAATATCTGAAAAACTTATGTTATTTTTAAAGATTCATCCATTGAAATCTAGGACTTGAAAAAATAGGATATTCTTGAGGAATTCTTGAGGAATTCGAATTTCTTTAGCGAACAATGACACACAAACACATTTATAACCCGAGAAGGGGGAAAAAAAGGAGAAATATGTCGAAAATTCCTTAAAATGCAAATGTAATATCAAGTGATGAATCATTTTTGGTTTTTAGGTTTTCTGACCAAGGTCAATGATATTTTTTTCCTGGTTTTACGACATAGTTAGTCAGGCTTAGATTTGACCAGGTGCTGGCCTGGCTTTACTGCAGCGCAAGACTTGAATCTGACTCTGGCCTGGCTTGACCTGGCCTTGTTTACATGCTTCAGAATGCTGTTGGAACATTGCTGCATTTGTTCAACTGATCTTCACCCATAGTTCTGACTTTTGCACTATTTCAGGGTAATCTGATTATAGGTTTTCCATGATTCAAGAATGATCAATACTGGAACGTTTCACGATGTCTGCTTGAAAGCAATAAAAATGATTCAATCAAAAGCCTAATCTTCATTCAATTACCTGTCGGAAACACAAAAACGAAAGATCTCCAACATAAAGATAAGCTTATTTTTTTTCCCCGATAGCTTAAACCTTTATTTGAATACCCATCTTTGTCCCCTCTACTTCATGACTCATTCTTTTCCTATTTGGGCACCTCTTTCCTTTATTTTTCTTCTTCTTGTTGACAATCTCCCTCCCTTTTGCCCATTTTTACAATCGTTTAGCCCTTTCTGATCGAAGCCATCCCTTATCTTTTATTTCTTTCTTCTTTTTCTTCCTTTCATCCCTCTTCTCCTCAATGTTGTCACACTTCCGACTCTCCAATATAAATTTCTCTTGACAATAACTTGTTTAATTCTGCTTAACTTTCTTCTTTCTTGGTCTATCAATAATTTTACGGAAACTTTTAGACATGAAATTCTACATCTTGTTGGCGCTAGTGGTTGTTGGTGAGTGAACTGAGTCTCAAGGCTTACACTTCCACATTTCAGCTCTTCTCACCTATTCCGAAGCTCGTGATCGACGAAATATCGGACAAGGAGCTGGGTACAATCAAGGTTTGCATTGAAATTTCAAATAAAACTCAGAAAATCGGTATCTTTTTTTTAGTAAATTACAGTACTGGACAATGAAATATCATATTTGAAAAAACACTTTCGCACTTTCGCGCGTCTGTAACTCCCCTGTCTTTACCGTATTTCTAAATATTAATATTACCATTGTGTAGCCATTGAAAAGAGCTTTCAGAAAATGTATAACACTAATAGTTTAAACTCGAAGACAAGGAAGTTTAGCCCTTTCTGATCGAAACCATCCCTTATCTTTTATTTCTTACAGACGTGCGAACGTGACGATCGTTTTTCACATATGATATTTCATTGTCCAGTACTGTACCTTTTCTCTTTCCAGGTATCGGTGGCGGAGCTCAACCAAACTGGAACAACAACAACGGATACAACAATGGAATCGGAGGCGGAGCACAGCCAAACTACAACAATAACAACAACTACAATGCATATGGAAGCTCCGGTAAGCTATAAACTATTCAAAATTAAATCTACATCTGCTTTAGCTAGATTGTTTTAAGCACTTGCACTTGCATGAGCCATTATCCCAAAATCATCACTAGAATTTGTTTTAGCTATGCAATCCAAAATTCAACAGCATTTTCCTTTTAAATATAATATTTTCTAAACTTAAGAACTACCATAATCTTGTCCGAGATCTGCTGCAAACCAAAAAGTACCTGAACTCATCAGATAGACGCTTTAAAAAGTTATCGAACATTTCAAACGCACCCCACCCCTTTTCCCATTGCCAATCTAACTTTAAGCTCTAATTTCTTGGTTTCTAAGCTTTCCAATTTCAATATTCTTAATTTCATTAGATGCGCTAAGTCTTTCTCTATCGATTCGTACAAAAACTATTTAAATTGAACAGCCCAACACCAAGAAATTTGAGCTTAAAGTTGGGTTGCCAATGGCAATTGCTTTTCTTTTTTGTAGGCCACCAGAAGGGACACGGACAAAAACACGGAAAACATCACGGAAAACGTCACATTCACCATGGTCAATAAATAGAAATCATCGTTTTCCTTTCCTTGATTTCACCCTATAGCTTTTTGTACATTTTTACACCCATCTTTACCTTTAATAAATGCTTTGCATGCACTCTCACTTTTCTAAAGCAACCGAGAAAGAATAAGGAATAAAGATTTCAAAAGAACATTTACAAAGAAATGTAAAAACAAAGAACTCTTCAGGCAACACAATATCGTGTATGTCGTGTGAGGGCTCGGTTGCAACTTTAATCAATTCCCTGTTCGTTGTGATCCCACAAACAAATGCTATACCATTTTTCATCGTGATGGATCTGGTGAGTTTCGAAGTAGGATTGAAATTTTGTGTAAGACACAAGAAGTTGAGTTTTGGGTTTAACTTTAACGATCAGTATCAGAATTATAGCAAGAATAGGATCAGAATTATAGCAAGAACAGGATCAGAGAAGGGTTATAGCAAGAACAGGATCAGAATTATAGCAAGAACAGGATCAGAATTATAGCAAGAACAGGATCAGAGTTATAGCAAGAACAGGATCAGAATTATAGCAAGAATAGGATCAGAATTATAGCAAGAATAGGATCAGAGTTATAGCAAGAACTTTTTGGAAAAGTATGGAATCTAAAACAGTTAATTATTTTTCTTAATATCATTAAGTGGTATTTAAAACTATTTTTGCATTAAAGAACTATTGAAAGGCTTTTCTGAGCAATTTCTAATAGAGAAAAGCGGCCAAATGACAGAGATGTCGACTAGCGTTCATTCAAGCGCTTGTTAAATGAGTTGTATAAGTTCAACCAAAAAGTTTTTGTTAGATAAATGTAGAGAACTAGGACTAGGCTCTATCGAACATTTGCCAATTTTGAAATAAATTAGACATTTCCTAGCTACTTTTTCAAAAAGTTGTCGCTATTTTCGCGGTCATTCTGTATACTTTTTTTCTATTTTATATTTTCCCTAATAGTAGTGTCCCGTAAGCTTTGCCTAAATTACTCGAAATCTAGAAAAGCGCTTATCAGAACCTATCGATGTGAGGTCGGAAAATGTAGCTGACGATGAGATCTTGTGGGGAATTTGAGTGTTGAGCTTCTGGGAAGACTTGAAAACCGTAAAATAGTCATCAACTTGGCTGCACTACTATTAGAGAAAATACGGTAATCATTTCAATCATTGCCATTTCAGTGCAGCGAAAGGGATGCTCGAGATTTGGATGTAGTCAAGAAGCTTCCGGACAACCATGCCAAGACTGTACGAACAATGAATGCAACAGTGAGTGCTGTTATTCAGTTTTCCTTTTAGTCTGAAAACAATTAACAAGCTTTTCAAAGAAAAACGGATTTTAGAAGACCACCGTTACAGCGCAGGCAATTTTGGAGCTATGAATGAACCAGTGAATCGTAAGTTTTTGTTCAGATTTTTATAACAAAGCAAAGATCTACCATCTAAACAATATTTAGCTTATGGTGGAACAAACATTGGAGGTGGCGCTGTTCCAAATCGTAAGTTTTTCTTGTGATTTTCGGTAGCCTAAAAGGCAATGCCAAAAGCAGCTTTCAGAGATGCTTTGTTTGTTTGGCTAGGTGAAAAATCAGCTTTTAGCCTTGATTCGTTTTGATTCGAATCCACAATAAGGACAAATATCGGAACATTAACTTAACAAATAGAAATCATCGTTTTCCTTTCCTTGATTTCACCCTATAGCTTTTTGTACATACAAACTACAAAAACAACTACAAAACAAATATAAGCGCAACAATTTTTACTATTTAGATGGTCATCGTCATCGATCTGGCTCGGCACTCGAAATTCTCTCATCAATGATTCTCATCTTTCTATCTCAATTTCTCTAAAAGCTTTTCGTGATCATTTTTTCTGTATTTTGAATAAAGTAACTTATTTTAAATAATCAATAACAAAAAACTAAAAACTCATTCATTTAATCATTCATTTAATCGCTAATCATTTCCGGTAAAGTGTCAACAATTCCTCTCCATCAAATTCAATCGATCATTTCATCTTATCAGCGCTTTCAAAATTTTTACCACTCTTCACAATCTAGATTGTGTGAAAGGGTAGTAAAAAGGTGCGCTCAGAAATTTTCAATCGCACACAAACAATCTACTCTTTTCCTCACTTCAATTGTAAACATGAAGACTGCCTTGTTAATCGTACTTTTTACAGCAACAGGTATATCTTTAAAACAGATATCAATATCATCTAATTGTGAGAAATAAATGTTAAACAAAAAGAAATGCATTCAGCAAATGCTTTGACTTGTTATACGTGTGATCAAGACACTTGCCAGACAACGCCAAGAGTTGAGGGATGTGATCCGACTACAAAATGCTATACAGTCACAACAAAACCCGGAGGAGTCGGTTGGTTTTTTTCAGATTTTAAATGAATTTAAAGTTTAAAGTTTTCTAGACTTACAAAGCGTTTTTTTATATCATAAAAATAGAAAGATTTGTCATTTCAGTGTTGAGAAAGGGATGCACAAAATCTTGCTCTTATGAGGCGAGCGAAGGAAGCGATCTTGATTGCAAAATCTGCGATGGAGATCAATGCAATGGTTTGTTTGTTTGGCTAGGTGACAAATCATAGCCTAGACCACATTTGGGTGACAATTTGACTGGCCAACCAGGCTCATGGCCAACCAGGCTCATGGCCAACCAGGCTCATGGCCAACCAGGCTCATGGCCAACCAGGCTCATGGCCAACCAGGCTCATGGCCAACCAGGCTCATGGCCAACCAGGCTCATGGCCAACCAGGCTCATGGCCAACCAGGCTCATGGCCAACCAGGCTCATGGCCAACCAGGCTCATGGCCAACCAGGCTCATGGCCAACCAGGCTCATGGCCAACCAGGCTCATGGCCAACCAGGCTCATGGCCAACCAGGCTCATGGCCAACCAGGCTCATGGCCAACCAGGCTCATGGCCAACCAGGCTCATGGCCAACCAGGCTCATGGCCAACCCTCATAGCTCATGGCCTCATAGCTCATGGCCTCATAGCTCATGGCCTCATAGCTCATGGCCTCATAGCTCATGGCCTCATAGCTCATGGCCTCATAGCTCATGGCCTCATAGCTCATGGCCTCATAGCTCATGGCCTCATAGCTCATGGCCTCATAGCTCATGGCCTCATAGCTCATGGCCAACCAGATCAGATAATTGTCAGATCAAACCCCGGCATATGGGTGACAGTTTGGGCTGACCAGTTTGCATATCCTTGATCTCAATGGAATGTAACCTCAATTTGTTACACTTAAAACCATTTATCATATACCAAAAAAGTTGTCTTATCTCGTGAATTCAACACTTTTCCAGATCAAGCCGGAAATCCACCACCACCAAGCGAGAACAAACCATCACCTCCACCTGGTTAGTTATGTTCGGAAAAGTTCAAACTTTCGAAAATCTCGTACCTTGAAAATCTCGTACTCGTCAAAACTTTTGATTTATTTAAATTCAGGCATTGGTGGTGGTGCTGTGCCCGACGCGAAGCCTTCCTCCTCATTCAAATCAAGCATTCTTTCATCAATTTTCTCTTTCCTTCTCATCATCGCTTTGTTTTAAATTTCTCATTAATCTTCGGGTAATTTATCGATAAATTTTCTGAAATATTCTTTGGATATAACTACAATATGTTGTGTGTTTTATGATTTTTATTTTTCTTTTTCTTTGAGGAAAAATGTGGCCGTCCAAATGTAATTATCGGCTCCAGAAATGGAAAAAAAATTATTCATTTGTGTATTTGTGTCTATAATTGGGAATTTTCAAGTAATTTCTTTAAGTTTTTATTTTACCGACTTGAATCTCACGATTCTAGTGACTTATTCACAACTCTAACTTCTCGTTATAAATGTAGTTGTTGTGGTTGTTGGATCGGCTGGCAAGGCTGTTCCTGCCAGTCCAAGCTAGACAAGGCCAAGTTTAGTTTATTCAAAAGTTTACACCAATTAAATCCAAATTCGAATTGATAAATGCAATAAAATGAATAGCTCAAACCAATTCCTCGACCCAGAAAACCCAAAGGTAAAAGCTTTTCGCTCAATATATTCCTTTTATACCATCTACAAAGCTAAAGAAAAATCCCTAAAGAAATCGTGTTCTTTGTAGGCGCGCAGAATCGCTTTCCATCTGGCAAACGTTCGATATAGGGGTCTTCCCTTTTCGATCGACCAACCTGGTGCAACTGTAGCTTTTCCCTTGTAGTTCCTTGTTTTGTTTCTCACTAGTCAGTCTCACAATCTTTAGTCAATTTCCCCTTTATTCAACGCTTTCTCCATTAAAAAGACCTTGAACATATTCAGACACATTCAAACACTTGAACAGTCTTCCGGTCCAAATCGAGTTATCCCCAGACGGTCCATTCAAAAGCATAAAATCCAATTCTCCCAAAATTCTCAAAATGTCATAAATGTGAATTTCCTTAACCCCAGCAGGTGTTTTTTTTTTGAGTAAATCGGAATTCCTTGAAGAGCACGAATTTTCCGTCGTACTTTTGCGTTATTTCTTTTCGTTTCCATGAAAACCCTCTCCGTGATCGTTTCATTTAAGAAAAAGTAAAAAAAAAAACCAATTTTTCGAGTTCATAAAAATTTCATTGCTTTACATCTGGGCATTGAATAAATTATAGAATTTTTGTCTAAAGAACACAAATTTTGAGTCGTTTTTTTTTTGAAATCCTGCAGAAAGGCGTAATTATTTTCGGAAATGGATGGTTATTTTTGAAAGTAACTTTTTGTAAAGCATTGATTTTTGTTAAATTTTTTAAATTTTTTAAAAGTGTTTAAAAGTTTTCGAATATTTGAAATTTGTAGAACGAGAGAGTCAGAGTCAAACTAAAGTCAAAAATTCGAGGCCATAACTTTAACCAGTTTTTTTCTTTTAAAACTGATAGTCCAGTCCTTGATATTTGAAATTTCACACAACTTTGAACTGACATTTGAAACTTTAACTTCCATAGAATAAAAAAGGAAATATCGAAAAAGACTCATTTCACTCATCATTAATGAGACGATGGGTGAACTGAAGAGAGAGTAACGAGACACTCCTTTTTCACTTTCAAAAAAGAGAGGATCCTAGTTCTGTCTGATGTCTGATGACGAAGTTTTCATTTAGGATTGCATCTACATTTTTATTAGTTCCTAACATTTGATTTACCATTTGATTTACCATTTGATTTACCATGGCAAAGCATGAAGCTCATTTTGAAAATGAGTCTAAATTCAAATTACCGAAATGGTCCGCTGTCAAGTGCTTCTCCCCGATAGATTTGTTGAGCGGGGTCCCGATTTTGGTGACGCCGATCTCATTCTGCTCCGCGGAAGGAAATTTTGAGGATCGAGGATAATCGAGCTAATCTAGACAGAATACCCAATCTAGACTGAATACCGTAGTCCAGCTAATCTAGACAGAATACCCAATCTAGACTAAATACCGTCATCCAGCTAATCTAGACCTTCCAAAATTCAAATTACCGAAATGGTCCGCTGTTGTCAAGTGCTTCTCCCCGATAGATTTGTTGAGCGGGGTCCCGATTTTGGTGACGCCGATCTTATTCTGCTCCGCGATTTGCGCCATTCCGCGCACCCCTTTGTACAGTTGCGTAGTCGCAAAAGTTTTTTAGTATTTCATTTTTTTTGAAAGCGCCCGTACTTTCAAAAAATGCGTCTTTGGTATCAAAAAATAGCTGAAATTCAGGGCTATTTTTTGATATCTAAGCGCGCATTGTAGCATAAACCAGTGTCGAGAAAAACAAAATCCAACACAAAGCTTTCTGCAAAATTTTATTTTAATTTTTCTACAGAAAATCATTGGTCGCTTTCTGGCTTGTTTTCTCAAAATTTCCTTTCCTCAAAAGCAAGTAAATCCCATAAATTTAGTCCAAAACTTTAGTCCAAGACTTTGAAGTCCAAATATTTGAGCTCTGAAACTTTTTAGTTGATTAGGAAACTTTAACTAGCTAGCTATTGATTAGGAAAATTTAACAATGTCAAAAAAAACCCTATTATATTTTTAAGGGCTATTTGCTTACTGTAAATGATCTACGACAATTAGTGTGACACAAAAAATGTCCATTCATATATTCAGAAGCCCCTATTCAGAAATATCCGCATCCCTCAACATGTGGGTGGGCATTCCACCTCAAAAGTCGCTTCTTGTCCCTTTCCTTTTCCTTTCCCTCTCACCCCATTACTCATTTTCCGCCCCAAGGGCCATCTCACTCCCCCCTTTTTTTTGACCTCATGCTTTCCAGTTTTTTTTTCTTTTTCTTTTGTCAGTTCTAATTTTGGCTGACAAATTGGCTCAAGTATGACCTTTTCTCTTTCTACTTTTTGTCTTCTCATTCTCGAAACTCATTTGAATTTTCTACTGAATTTTCTTAATGAAAAGATTAGTGAATTTTCGTGAAGGGAAAGTAAATGAGAAAAGGGAGAAAATTAAAACAAAAAAAATTCTTTGTTTATTTTCTCGAGATCAACGAATACAGTGTGAAGGAAAAGGAAATGCGACTCTTGTTTTGCAGTTAAATGTAAATTTCAAATGCAATGATAGGCTAAAGCTTACCTACAGTCATGTGCAAAAGTCTTTTAACACTCAATTTTCTAAAAAGTTTCATCGATTTTCTTTGATAAAGTTCTTTAAGCTCTTTAGGCTATTAATAGTTTTAGTTACACAAATATACCGTAAATACTGTAATAGTACCCCACCCCATAATGACGGTGCAGAGTGTCGCGTAGTCTAGCTTTGAACGAGTTTTTCTCGACACTGGTTTATGCTACAATGCGCGCTTAGGTATCAAAAAATAGCCCTGAATTTCAGCTATTTTTTGATACCAAAAACGCTTTTTTTGAAAGTACGGGTGCTTTGCAAAAAATGAAATACTAAAAAACTTTTGCGACTACCCGACTGTACGAGGGCGGTGGGGTACTATTACAGTATTTACGGAATGTACAATTTATTTACACAAACCAGATGGCCAGATGGCCGACCGGTTAGGAGTCTTGTCTCTTAAGCGGAAGGTCGAGGGTTCAATCACTCTGGCAAGATAAAAATGTTTCTTTTTCCCACCAAGTGGGTTTTTTTTCTTTCACAACATTTGGGTAATAGGGGTAAATAGGGGTGAGAACGGCCGCAGTGCCATAAAATTGTGTGTTTAACCTTTATGTCGTATTATGTACCCTTTGTTTGTATCACATTATTGGTTTTCAATAAATGTATTTTTTTAAACGTTATCGCTATACAAAACTTATTCATCAAAGAAGAAATATAAGTGTCAAAACACCCCTGAAAATCGTGGTGCAAAAATCTTTTAAGACAAGACGAAATTAAGCTATAATCAATATTTTGTCGGCTCTCCTTTTGCCAAAAGTACTTTTTTAATACGAGTAGGCATCGATGTAATTAATTCATCAAGAAATCCAGGACCAATCGTCTTACAAATTTTTCTGATGTAAAACCATAGCTCGACTTTGGAATTGAATCGTTTTTCTTGCAATTTCAATTTTAAATAGGCTCATAGATTCTCGATAAAATTTAAATCCGGTAAAAATAATGAAGCTTTGATCAAAGAAACGTGATCGATCCAAAGCCATCCCGGTAAATGTGCTTTTCCTTCATTCGAGAAAGTCACAACGCGACCCATCAAAAGTTTAGTTTTGTGTACTGACGAATTATCTTGATAAAGAAACCATCTTGAATTCATCGAAGCAGTCGCAAATGGAAGTAGACATCTGTCCAATATCTCAATATATTGGCGGGAATCCATTGTTGATTTTACGAGGACAAGCGGGCCCGTTGAACTTTTACACATCGCACGAAAGAAATCACGTTAGACTGCATAAGAAGAAAGTTATCGTTACCGAAACGCATAATTGATCCTCCACCTGTTTTCACCGTAGGTTGCAAGTACCTGAGTTGATATCGCTTTCCGATTAGACGTCGAATCAGATGATTTCGATTTGAAGGAAAAATATCGACTTTTGTTTCATCAACGAAAATCACTCGGGTCCAATCATTGATTGTCCAATTTGAATAGGTTCGAGCAAATTGAAGGCGTTGTCTCCTGTGTTTGGCTATCATCATAGGCTTGAGGGCAGATCTTCTAATATACAATGCTGCTTGAAGTAAGCGTCGATGCAAGGTCCAGCGGGAAATATTCTTTTTTGAAGTTTGCTTGAAAAGAATTTGACGTTCAACGTCAAATTCGGATCCTTCTTGAAAGTTTTCGTAAGGAATCGGTCTTCATTCTTTGTTGTAATCCTCAATCGTCCCTTTTTCTTACATCTGTGCACATTTTCAGACGCATTCATTTTTGCCATTTTTGCCATAACAAGAGAAACTGTTGTGAGCGTACATCCTAAGAGGCAAGCAACGTCTGACATTCCTTGCTTCCTTTCCTCGACGATCATTTCTTTATCCGGAGTTGACAAATACGCTCCTGGCATCTAAAGAAAATAAATTAGTACCAATAAAAATATGAAGGGAACAAAAATCATGAAAATTTTTGCAAGTGTTACAAGACTTTTGCACCACGATTTTTAGGGGTCTTTTGATAATTATATTTT